ATTTTTTTTTCTTAAGCGAAGACGATAATTTTTGTAGCGATATAGAAATAGAAATTGATACCATAAAAAATTATATAGAAATAGAAATTGATACCATAAAAAATTAATTTGTTTTCGTGTCCTTTTCATGTATTTAGCATTTTAGTTTTTTTTCTTAAGCGTTGTAGCTATATAATATTAAAAATAGGAATTTAAGACAAAATTGCAGGACAGGAACACTTTAATTGTCCACTAATCTTCAGATTTCCTGCTATGTTTTAAAAAACTTTTTTTGTGAAAACCTTTAGCGTGGCGGACAGCTGGCCGCCTTAGGCGGCTAGTATAATATAAATTCAACGATTGGATAAATTAGACCATGTATTATATAAATATAGAATATTTATTGCATCAGGTATTCTATCATTGAATTGTAATAATTAGATCAGATAATTAGACGCACTGCATTGTTTTAATAATTACGTGCTTTGCACGAGTTTATATGCAATACTTTTATATTTAAACATACATGTAATGGGTTTTTATTCAGGAGATTTTTTATATACTTTTCTATTTGTATTTTTAACGTATTTCATTGCAATGTTAACCAATTGATACACGAACGTAAACAAGTGCAAACCGGTTTCAGTCGCGTAAAAACAATAAAGCTGCGTAGTATCACGTGATAATTAAGATTTTACATAGACTCTTATAGTACGTCTAATAATTTAGCCAAAGACTACAAGTTAAGGAGCAAATTAGTGAATGAAAAGTCCAATTATTTAATGAATTAGTAAGTCACTTAGACAATAAATCAAAGAATCCTTTGACTAGCTGATTCGCTTATTCATTAATCAGCTGTTTCAATGATTTCGTAATTCACTGGTGCATTATTTTATTGTCTTGTTGTTTCATTTATTTAAAGAACTTTTTTCCCGCTTTTTCCTTGATTCTCTGATATGTTGATTTGTTAATTAACTGATCCACTAATCCGCTAACTTGCTGATTAGTAAATGCTTCTTTTACTTGATTTTTGATACACAAATTGATTTGTTAACATTTTAATTGGCTAGTTTATTGTACTCATTCAACGATTTGTTCATTCAACGATTTGCTTTTTTCTTGTTTCTCAGCATCATTAAGTCCCTCGTTCATTGATTTGCTCATGCATCGATTTTCTTATTTATTATTTCCAAATTTAATGAGCTAACCATTCATTGATTTGCTGATTTGCTCATTCATCAGTTTGCTGTTTTATTTACTTACATATTCATTGATTATCTCTCATTCATTGATTTGTTCATTCTTCGATTTGCTAATTTACTGTCTCCCAGATTCAGTGAGATTCGCATTCATTGATTCTCTGATTCGCTAATTTAATTAATCTATTTGCTGATTTATTGGTTCGTAGATGCATTGAATCAGTCATTCATTTCTTTAGACTCATATTACTTATTTTTAAGGACATTTAGCAATTAAAACTCAAAATGATAGTAATAAGCATATGAAAAATAACTTCTTAATCAAATTTGTACATACGAGAACTATAATTAATTAACTGCTATTTTCTGGTGATCTAAACAGCAAAACAGAAATAATAATACACATATGGTTATGGATAAATTCTCAGTCAAAATTAGCACATTTAATTCAGCATAAATAAATTTATTTTAACTGTAAGTGCTACCTCACTCTTAATTATTTATAATTTTATAAATTTTTCAAAAATGTATAATTCAATGATAATTAATTATTATAATGTATTATTTATTTTAGGTGACCTAAACAGCATAGCTCCACTGATATCCAATTTTTTCTTAGCTGCCTACTGCTTAATTAATCTCTCTTGCTTTCACGCCACTTTTGTTAAAGCACCTGGTAAGTTTTTCATTTTTTGCCCCTCTTTACTTATGATTGAATTAACTTCTATTATTATTTTCAATAGATTTTTGATAAATTTGATTAATTTTATACCTTTTTGATGATCTTTGGAGATTGCTGGAGTAAAAAAAATGAAGTCATAGGTACTTGTTAATGTGTTCAATAAGCGTTTCCTGCTATTTTTCCTGCTTTTGAAACGAGCTCTTAAAAATGGGTCTTGTTTTGGGTTTGATGAAGTGCGCACGTGGATTTGGACGTCATCACACTTTTCCTCTGTATTCAAAGAGTAATAGTAAGCAGTGCGCATGCGTCGCCATTGCATGCGTTGCTATGGCTACCGCTGCTGTTTTCCTTTTTATTTTCACTAGCGAGCATTTTTAATGTATTTACATAATAATAATTTAAAGTATTTTTGTATTCCTTTTATTATTAACTCATAATTACTGTCTTGACAGTGATTTTAATAAAAATAAGAATGCTGAAGAGGAAAAAGTATTTAGTGACGTCTTGAAACACGTACATAGGCAGGAGATATGAAAATCAATCCGACGACAAACATCAATGGAGACAGTTTTTGCAGCACATGATTTGAAATCTTGTGGCGTTTAACGTAGTCAATCCAGAAAGAAAAAGCATTTAACCAATGGATAACCAGTGATAGTAATAAAGCGATCACAATTTTTTAAAAAAAAATTTTAATAATATCATTTATCCTTGCTGTAAAAGAACCTAATTCTTATTTTTTCTTCCCTCATTTTTAAAGAAAAGCTCGGTTGTAAAATGTTAATAAAATTGATGATTTACATACTTTTTAATTAAACAGCGTGCCGATTCAAAGTATTCTTAAAGAATTATAAAATAAAAATAACACAATCACCGACCTTACTTTCTATTTTTAAAATCTTTGATCAAAAAAAAAATTTTTTTTTCTTGAATTAATACCATTTAAACGAAATTTTATCTGATCCTAACCATTCACTCATAACTAACGAATTACTAGATAACAAAACTTGATTCATATCGGAGAAAAGATTTTCAGAGGAGATATAAATATTATTAGCTTATTTATGAAAATAAAATAAGATTCATTAAAATATTATTTAACACTGCTCCCCACTGTCGGTGGCGAAGTAACCTCTAACAAGTAACCTCTTTAGGAAATATAAGTCAAATTTTGTTTTGAGGTCGGATCTTACTTTGAATGTTATTGTCGTTTTTCATACGAAATGAGCAAATTATGCATTGTAGGTTTCCGTCCTGCCTTCAGGTACTATAGTATGTGGCTTGGTCTTCTGGGTGCCTTTCTCTGCCTCGTCGTTATGTTCGTCATCAACTGGGTCACATCTCTCATCACATTTGCTGTAGTCTCATTCCTCTACCTCTGCATTTATCACAGGAAACCAGGTTTCTGTTCTATTATATTAGGATGTATCTGACGTATATATATAAACATCTTTACTATCATAGCTTTTGTTGCCTAAATTCTCAAATTGTTATTAAAATGTTTTTTTTTCAATGGATGGTAGCCCTGAAATGCGATTTGCTTTATATTATTTGTTTATTTATCTAATTATTTGTTTATTTATCTAATTATTTAATACGATGTAAGCTAAAAGCACATTCATAATATATTTTTTTTCTTCTTAACAATTTTAGTTGGTATATCTAACTAGTATATCTAATCTGTTAGTGTAGTATATCTAATTTTAACTCATATTTATTTTATTTTACTTCATATAGGTCTGTTTTCTGCTTTTTTTTCCATCTTAAAATAATTTACAATGAAATTTTCTTTAAAATTTTTTTAGAGGCATAGGCGTATTTTAAAGAGTGATTTTTGTCTTAAAATATTTTATTCTTTGTTTCGAAATGTCTCTTACGCTGTTGTAAAAGAATACGTGAAGATTAAAATATTTCAGTTCAATTATGAAAATTGATATTTTAAGTATCAAAGGTTAAGTTATCATTGTATTGAAAACTTTTTAATAAAGCTTACTGAGCCGGGATGGTTCAGGAGATAGAGCATTCGCCTTCAAATGAGGTGAAACTGGTTAAAATCCCAGCGATGGCTGGTCGATACGAATCCGCATCCGGCTTGAACTGACCATTGTGGTGACGTAAAATATCCTCAGTGGTAGACAGATCATGAGTTAGAGTCTCTTTGCAGTTAGGTTAACCGTGGGAGGTTCTCGTGGTCTTCCTCTACATGCAACGCAAATGCTGGTTAATTCCATCAAAAAGTCCTCCACAAAGGCAAATTTCTCCCAATACGTGATCCAGGAGTTCCCTTGTCTTCTGGATTGAGTTCAAAATTGCAAGGCTACGGAGTTGAACATTGATGGTCGTAAGCCCGAAAGTTGGGTCGGCTGTTCAACGACGGTTATAAAATAAAATGAAGCTTACTATATAATAAAAATTATATATTATTATTATTTTATATATTTTCTTGAGGAATGGCTCCGCAACAAGTTCTGCCCTAGAGTCGTCTATGAAAACTGTGACGAGCATTGAGTAGCTCATATCCGTTTTACCATAACTAGACACAATTTTTCATGACTTTAGGTTCAGTAGTTTTTTGAGTGCGATAGTGCTTTTGAGATTAAAAGAACATCAACATTACACAGCAGAAAACACCATTCTTCGCAAATTCTAACATGTTATGGCTGTATTCAATTAGGCTTCCATTCGAGAAACTTCAATTCGAGCAAACTTCAATTAGAGTAAATATCAATTAGAGTAAATACCAATTAGAGAAAAATTTACAGTACTTGAAGTAGTATAATAATTACATAGCAATTACACTCACAATACCGCAAAATACGGTTACCTCCATTATTATAGTTACATTAACACAATAATACGGAATTTATAATTTATTTTAGACAAAATTAAATTTTAAGCCTATATTAATCAATTTAATAAATATAATGGTTTTTATATTATTTATTTAATTGAGTATTCTTCACATAGTATGCAGTACTCAAAATTTCTTAATTTTTTTAATATTTCAGACGTGAATTGGGGATCGTCTACTCAAGCTCAAACTTACTCTATGGCTTTGAATGCTGTAGTAAAGCTGAATGAGGTGGCTGATCATGTCAAAAATTACAGGTAAAGGTTTTGAAAGATCGGTCGATTTACGCTAAAATACAGTATATTTAGACCTTTTATTCGAAAAATTAATAACAACTTTTAACGTTTCATGACACAAAAATGATGCATGCTCAAAAAATAAAAATATTTAAAAAATAATAAAATTCTCAATACTTTCTGCATTTAATCCCCGATTCCTAACTAAATCTCGGAAACAGTTCAGCTATCTAGATATTTTTTTAACATTGTAAAAATTATCAGAAAAGTTTTTTTCTATCATTTTTAAATGTTGTATACAAATTATATACAAGTTCAAAAGAGTTTAAACATTAATCATGCATCAAAAAAATTTCAACATAGAATACAATAATGATATTTAAAGCTTAGTAGATGTGTTATTAGGAAAATGACTTGGAGCTTCTCACAATATTAAGCTACAAGCGTTATTTGTGCAAAAAATATACAGAAACCGTTATGGAGATTCTCTCTTATATCTAATGGAAATTTTGTTGAGAAATACTTTTAAAGCTCTTGATCTAAATGAATCTGAAGTGGTATATCTACTCCCCCACTTTGGTGACCTTCGGACATGAAGTAAACATGCCTACCTTGACAGAAACTCCCACATCGATTTGAGCACGCCTACTTCGATGGATTGTCCACATAGAACAGTTGACTCACTAATTGTGACTGCAACATTATCCACCTCCTCTCTCTGTTGCCACTCAATCTTTATCACACACAACGTCAGCCTGTATACACTCGGCAGCTTACGGCCACACTGAAGCGACCACGACGGTGTACTTAATACAGATCTCACAATCTGCACACATAAGTGCGGTGATCTTAATACAGCCCTCCCGGCTTCTCACAAAGCAGCAATGACTAAACTAGTGGAATCCATTTATCGAATTATATCACTCCTATAATTCTGATGGGGGAGTACTGTAGTGTGTCTACCACTACAAAATTACAATTACAATTTTCTAGTATATAAAATATGTTAGCTCGATTCTATGATGGAGTACCTTTTAATAGATGAAGGTTGACATGGTCGAAAACAACTCTCCCCACAAATCTATACTTCATTTTTTTTTTAAATTTTGATATATTAGTTTCTTTCTATAATTGCAATAATTATTAAAATCGCAACGTATATTGATTCTGCTTGAAATTTCCTTTGCGTAACGACTGATATTTAGAATTGAGGATGCTAACTTACGACAGTTGACCCTTCTTCAGGTATAATGTATTAAATTGGATTTTTTCTCTCTTCCTGACAGGCCACAGATTTTGGTACTAACGGGTCATCCCAGTCACCGGCCCCCACTACTGGACTTCAGCTATACCATCACCAAAAAGCTCAGTCTACTCATTTGTGGAAATGTTATCACAAAGGCAATCTATTTTCTCTTTTATTTTCTACCTCTTCTGATTTCATTGGGTAGCTGACATTAAATAATGATATACATTTAATGTTTGCAGGAGCACCTAAACCACAAGAGTAGGACCGCTGTGCTGGATCTGGGACATAAATACCTTAGGAGACGAAACATCAAAGGATTTTACAGTACCGTAGAGGACACATCCTTCTCCAGGGGAGTCTCCTCTTTACTGCAGGTACAATATTCAGATATCAAAACTGGAAAATAGTGTTTAACCCCTCGCCAGTGTCGCCCCAATCCAGTTCGAGCAACTACTATCCAGTATTTGTGATGCCCGAAGTCAGTTCGGGCAGGAGAAAAATTAACCTTTCTATTTTGTAAAGCCCGAGCTNCTCGCCGGCCGAAGACTCCCCGTGTAGTAAATGGTGACTGATGCACGTTAAATCTGTCGAGTCGCAAAGTCCTCCTTGTTCCCATAACAAGTCAAACCTCTGGGGGTACTAATCCAGGAGTTTCCTTGTCTTCTGGATTGGTTCATAAATGACATGGCTACGAAGTTGAACATTAGTAGTCGTAAACCCAAAAATTGGCAAATATAATATAATCAGTCGAGGGAGGGAAATGTGGATGGTGGTTTTGGGGTAAACCATACTGTAAAAAGGTTGTGAAATTTATGTATTAAAAATCATATTGTTGTGTTTTTATATTATATTATACTAGTTATATTATATTTAGCTTCAAAATTTTGTCTAATTTTGAATAAGATGTGTGTGCTATCCATTACTTTTTAATGTGTATGCAAAAATTATAAATACAGTAGTTATTGCATTTAAAATTTTATTTCTGGAAACTAAAAAACCATTTTTTAACTTTTATAATAATATAAAGAATGAAATTAAACAGTCAAAACAATTTTCCATTTTTGATCCATTTTTCTGAAATATATGTCCCTGTTAACCCTTTAACGATCAAGAAAACGGCCAGAAAAGTGCCTAATTTTTTGGCTTTTGTATTTGTATTGTGTATTTGATTAGTGCTGGCATCTAGTTTAAAATAAACTATCTAAAATTACCTTAAAAATATCCTGGTATTGCCATCTGGTGTGTAAAACGAGAAATAGAATGTTTTCCGGGCAAAAGAAATGAAGTAGTTTTATTCTTAATGGTGCGTTACTATTGAACTCTCCAGCCCGTCAATATCACGGGAGCGAGAAATAGAGGGCGAAACCTCACCCCGTCATTTCCACGGGAGCGAGAAGGAAGGGGTTCAACTTCATATTTAAATGACATTCAGTCCAGTACTAAAATGTACAGAAACACCAGAAAACTACAAATCAACACAACGTGCAAAAGCCTAAAGAATAAATTAGTATACTTCACGAGTATAAATGACGCTTTCTTTGTATGCAGGTTGCGGGAATGGGAAAGTTGAAGCCGAACATGATATTGATGGGTTATAAGATTAACTGGGAAATGTGTGGATATGATGAAGTAAAGGAATATTTCAATGTCATTCAGTAAGTACAAATTTAATTATTTCTCTCTTACAATTATAGGATTTTATTTCATTTCTTTATAAACAAGTAAACTTTTTTTTAAAAAAAAAAATTCAATTCCTTCTTCGGTCAACAAAGAAAATTTTTATTTCAGTTATTTTTTATTAAATAATTACATTTTTTTCCCCTCTTATGTGTAACTCTAACTTTAGGAGCTAACATAAGAAAAATTAAAATAAAAAAAACACCCTTAGCATTTTGCCATTTGCAAATAGAAAAATTAAAAAGATATTTTTACGTATGCATTCTCAGATAACATAGTAATAGTATTTGATGTGTTTCCAATTTTGAAGCAATAGACTTTTACATAGTACGATTTCATATTTGTTTTTAAATCAGAAGCGTTTGATAATTTGCAAATAAAAAATGAAAACGAAATTCTGCGTAAATAATTTTTGAATATTATTTCGTTAAAAAGAAGCCTTTGACAATAATTAAAGGTTAATTGTGACTGTCTGATATATATTTAGCTGGTTCAACCTACACTGTTGTTTTTTTAAGGTTAAGTGATAACGCTGAGTGAAAATTTGCCCCGTGTAACTTACGCTGGAGCATTCATACATACTTTAACTTGGTTATTATTAATAATAACCGATTTACAATTTAACCATAGGCAAAAGCCACTTTTAACGGAAAAGTATCATATTTGTGAGGTAATATAGTAATGGTATTCTAGATGTTTTCAATTTTAGTTATAGAGTAGTAATAGAATTTTATTTAAGTCTAAGATTTATTTTTGAATTAAAAACGTTTGACGATAACTTGCAAATAGAAAAATTCAAGCAGAATTCCCCATTGATATTTTTATAAGGTAATGCAGTAACAGAATTCCAGTCTTTTTTCAAATTTTATTTATGGTGTAGTAATAAAATTCTCCATACTATTTAATATTGAATTTTGAATGAAAAATGTTTAATAACATGCAAATAGACGAATGAAAACATAATTATGCTCATATAAGTTTTTGGTAATGTAATTTAGAAAGTGGACTTCGTCTTGTTCATAGTTATAGTAATGAAATAGTAATACTATTCTATGTAAAAATAGTAATACTATTCTATGTAAAAATAGTAATACTATTCTATGTAAAAATAGCAATACTATTCTATGTAAAAATAGTAATACTATTCTATGTAAAAATAATAATACTGTTATTTATTATGTTACTTTGTACTGTTATTCCCAAATATTTGTAAAACCCCACGCAAAAAATGACAAACAAATAGAAAAATGAATTGAGTTCTACATGTATGAGTAGAACAAAGATAATATAAGAAATTTACTTGCAATAAGCATCACATTACCAGTAACATAACATACCGAAAAGAATATAGTATGAATAATATACATAAGATAATTATTGAATACTACATTTTTGTGAGTGATGATAAATTTTATTTGTGTATCGAAAATATTGACCAGCGTAAAAATAATAAAAATTGAGTTAAATTGAAAAACTATCGAGATATATTGTTAAACATCGATATTTTTTTACAATACATCGCGATACTAAAATGCATACCTACTTAACGGTCATTAAAGTAAATATTCGTATTGGCGGAAAAGCAATCGCCAACATATGATCTTTATAACCGAGAAGTACACAACTTGGAGCTTCTTTCTATAAAAATATACAAAGAGAGCTATAAGTTTTTCCTAATTTTAAATATAGCAAAGCATTGGATATGCATATGGCCATTGGAATCTTGAGATTGCCCGAAGGATTGGACTATTCGAAGTTTGCACCCCATTTGGAACAATTTGCCCTTCTATCCAAAAAAGAAAGAAAAAAGAGAATAGAATACCGGTCAGATGGAATACTGAGAAATAAATCCTGTTCTGAACTCTCAGAAAGTAAGATATCTTTATTTTAAAACTATTAACAATTACTTTCGTGAAAAGAATAAATAGAAAAAATTTAAACTTCTAAAAAAAATAATAAAAAAAACTTTTCTATGGTACTATACAAAAAAGTAAACAATTAATAAAAAAAATTCTTTTAGTTACTTTTTATTAAATAATTAAAATTTTTTCTCCTATATATAAAACTAAAATTAATTAATTAAATTTGATTAATAAATTAATATTTGTAAAAACTGTATTAACATCAAGTGTCATTTACTACAAGTTTAAAACAAATGTATATAAGTAGAGTGTGAACTAATAACAGGAACTGAAAAATAAATAAAACGTTGCGTTTTACTTATAAGAATCAAGTTTAGATAGTTTCAGTTCATCTTTTAGATGGTTAATTTATATAAATTTCATCTTATAATGTGTTGCAAGAATTTTTTATAGAATTTTTTAAGGAAATCAGACGAAAAGTCGGTGGATTTCGAATAGCAAACATAACACCCTATAAACTACCGATTTATCATTACTAATTTGTGAGCTAAAATTCTTATTGTAAAAATGGTATAAAATCGTTTGGGCTTTGCTTAAAGAACGGTATTATTTCTTTCAGTTTCGGTGGCATCGTGTCCGATGGACAGTTCCAGAGAAAGTTCTCCACCCTCGTCTCCAGCCACTCTCCGTTCCTTGAACGGGGTTGTGAGCCAAGATCCCCATGGACAGGTGAATCTTGGTTTCATGGAATGTGCAGACGATATGAAGTCGACGCCATCTATTCCAGATGAGGTTAAGTTGTCGGCAACACAGTTCCAGAGAAGGCAAAAAAAGGGACACATCGATGTTTGGTGGCTGTACGACGATGGAGGTATGGACTCAAACAAGATTCTAAAACTTCCGGTGCATTGCTCTGCTTATGTTATGTCCAAACAGGCTAGATATTCTTTTACCATTCAGATTTGTATTTAAATTTGCGCATATTTTTACCATTCTTACGATTTTCTTGAATTTTACAAATTTAAATGTGAGGCTTTTATCGATTCAAGGAAAATTAATATCAAAATATGCACTGGTGTAAGAAATTATGAGAATTTGCAGACTTGGTCGATTATCTCTGGATACTTATTTATAATTTACAACCGTCGTGGAACAGTCGACCCAATTTTTTGGGTTTACGACTATTAATGTTCAACTTTGTAGCCTTGTAATTTTGAACCCAATCCGGAAGACAAAAAGAACTCCAAGATCAAGTATTAGGAAAAATTTACTTTCGTCGAGGACTTTTTGATGAAACTAGCCTGCCTTTGTGTTATACGGAGAGGAAAACCACCAAACTTTCCCATTGTTAGCCTGACGCCAAGAGAACTGTAACCCATTATCTGTCTACCACTGAGGATATTTTACGCCAGCAAATATGATAATTAATGAGTTCAAACGATATTTTAAGTTAGGAAATCAAACACAAGAACTTACTTTATCTGAAGGTACCTAATAGATGGAATAGTTCTTGAGAAATCAAATTTTAAGAAAGTCGTATTTTTAAAATTAGATTTCTCAGAAACAACTGGATCGATTTTACACAAATTTTATACTTTGCCATGCAAAATTATATTCTTTAAAATCAGGTAAAAAATTATATGTCTTTCGATTCAAAATTTCTTTGGCTAATGTTAAATAAAATAATGAAAAATGATAATATAAACTAAAAGTTATTTTTTGCACAGAATTATCTTTGGTTAAATAAATTTTAGAATTGTGTTCAAAATTTTTTCCATTCACTAAAAATTTCTCGTGATATGGCAAAACAAGCAAAAAGTAAAATTAACATTAAGAGATCCAAACCTTAAACCGCTCTCCTGAGCAAACTATTGGGAACCTATTTCCCAGATTGCGACAACCCTCTATATTTCAGTGATCAGAAATCCAAATCTGTCGAAAAAAGGTATGTTTATTCAGAGAAAGTACGTTTTTGCATCTGATTTCGTAACTAAAGTTATCGTCTGTGCTCAATAATTAGCATATTTAAAGACAACCCCTGGAATCATTAAGATTGAGTCCTAGAACGTGAAAATCCGATCATTGGAACAAAAGTTATTCAGGGTCTTATTTTGCGCTCTGTTTATGATCAATTCTTCTTATTTTCAGGTTTGACCATGCTCATTCCGCACATACTTAGCACACGATCTCAGTGGAGCGGATGCAAACTCAGAATATTTGCACTTGCCAACAAAAAAGATGAACTAGATCGCGAACAAAGAAAGTAAGTTCCCCATAAAACCTATCATAATTGTATGTATTTTAGAAAACTATTGTGGACAATTTCTCTTTTTAAATTATCGCAAAACCAATGGGACACCTGCAATTGACGTAGTGTGGGTATCTCAATCCTGATAGGCTGTTGAAACGTGTCATTTGCTTACGTTAGCAACTGTTCTTTCCATTCTATTTCGAGTAAGCTAAACCCGTCAAGAATCAATTCTCTTAAGTGACACATTCTATATTCTTTCGCAAAGATTCTTTCAAAAAGAATTAAATTCTTTCTCTTACTTAACACAAAGACAAGGCATGAAGCCGCGGAGGACATAAATAAACTAATTATGCATCGAAGTTGCCAGGTACACAAAACAAAAAATATATCACGGTTACAATAAAAAACATAAATAATAAATCTAAGGTAAGGAAAAGAGGTAGACTAAAAAGAATTACGTTTCAACTAATTAGATGTGCGATACGGCTCTTTATTTAATTAACTTATAGGTAATTAACATTCTAACTTATGTAGAGAAACTAGCTAAACTTTAAATACGCCATTTTTCTGACAAAGATTGGATGGCTCTGACGTCATAAGTCACATGTGTGGGGTATGAGTGAACTTCTTCTTGAAGTGCAAGTACCCATCTATGATTGTAACAGAACTATTTTTGATCTAAGTGGCTACAAGAACAATCCCTCTACGTGATTAGAACTTTAATTTCAAAAGTTTCGGTGCATTGTTTTCGTAAGTCATTTTGTATATATGCTCAGAAATATTTTTACAGTTCGAGCTATTTTGGGAAAAAAGGTCACATGATAGGTGTTTTTGTATTAACTGAAAAAGGCAGCAAGAGAAAAATAAGAATAATCGGTGGTACACGAAGTAAAGCTTGATCCACGTTAAGACAGATAATTAAAGCTATTTACAATTATATTTTACATGAAATAATTATTTTGTCATCAGAGAAAATATGAATTGAAGACTGTAGTAATCATTTAATTTCTTTCAGCATGGTGGCGCTGCTAAATAAGTTCAGAATAGACTACTCTGACGTCACAGTCATTCCAGATATCGTTAAGCCACCAGAAGAAGCGAGGTAAGCAATATCCAAAAGAATACAATATCCAAAGGTAAATTATGGTAGCAATGCACAAGATTTCGTTCAAGGAAAGTAATTCTACCATAGGGGGAGAGTGGGGTCAATTGTAGCATTTTTTACTTATCTATTTTTAACTAACAAAAAATCCAATATATTATTAGTAGTAATTGATAGACGAGTAAAGTAGACTATCCTCTACTAGAAAAAAAAATAAATACCTTATTTTAAATGTTATTATATTAGTTATTAACAATTTTTGACAGTCGTGCACTTGTTACAATTGTCCCCACTTACGGGGTCAATTGTAACAGTTCATAAATTCAACTAAAACATAGTTAATTATACATATTATCATAGTTGTGATATATTTTTTTATTGATCAAAATAGTAGTGATATTTTAGGAGTAAAAATAATAATCAACGGTGACCTAAAGGGTTAAACTTTTAACTTTAAGGGGTTAAAAATTTTAATTTATGCTGTGAAAGGTGGCAAATAAAATAATGCACATGCAACATAATATAAATGATATAGGAAACTATTGGTGATTCTTAAAGAGATAAGTAATGGTTTGTAAACATAAGATTATTTATTTTCAGCTGTTACAATCGTCCCTTTACTTATTGTTACAATCGTCCCCAAGACGCCATTTCAGCTTCATTTGTTAAAAACAATGCTAGTTAATTAACAAAACTAATCCTTTTTTTTCTAAATGTTAATTAAGGTGTCCGCTTACATATTCGGTTAATAATTTTTATTTGTTTAAACAAAATTACTTTGTTACAATATAATACTCTAATACCAAAAAAAGTACTTACATCACAAAAGATATTTTCACGCTACGTAACTCTTTCAAAAGTACATAAAAAAGGTAGCCAGCAGGGGTGCATGTAGATTTATTAAATACACCTTGTGCGCCACCTAGGAACCAAATTTAGAACCCGACACTCGAAATTTTTGCTCAGTTACAATCATACCCTGTTACAATTGACCCCACTCTCCCCTACTTTGTTTGCATTTGGATATTTTGAAGAAAAAAAACTGTTCTCAGATACAGTATATAGATAGATTAGCCTAGAGATGTATGCGATTTATTCTGGGTTTATTTAAACTTTTTTTTAATACTCTAACTACTTCCCTTACCAATTATTTTGAAAAAAATGCAAAAAATCGACATACTTTTTTTTATTTTATTAATACAAGGAACTAAAGCAAGTATAGTACAAGTTTCAAGTTGAAATTTGATTTTTTTTACGTGTAATAAGCATTTAATTTAAAATCAGTTTGCTATCCCAAGTTATCTCGGGTCAAATGAAATAAGTTAAATATGAGTCTTTGTATGATAGTTCTTAAAACAAGGGACAATACAAAATGATACTTTTCAAACGTCAGCGAAAGAATATGCCATTTTGGAAGTGAAACTTCTAATGCGACTTCCAACAAGGTTGCGTTAAACGTTTAACGCAACGATAAACAAAACATTAATAACAAGAAAAAGTAGTTGAATTGCAGACGATCTGCATCAGCAGACGATTTAAAACAATTATTCAAACTAACTGCTTACTATTAATGTTCAACTTT